TACCTTCCAAAGTAAAGGTTTTACACAGTTCCCTGCGCGCACAGGGTCCCCAGGGATCCTGAGAAGGAGGGCTTTTTTTTTTTTTTTTTTTTTTTTTTGAGCAAGGGTCCCAGACCAGGCCCCAACCCACCCATGTAAAAGCAGTCAACCTACCTGTCTAGGCCAGATTGATAGCGCCTCCACTTCCCTTTGGGACACTGTCCTTCCCCACTCCCCTCTCCTTACCCAGGAAGAAAGAGCCAGTTGTTGAGGCTGCTACTCATTGAGTTTCTTGTTCTCTTGGTTAAAGCTACTGGTTCCTGAAGGTGAGTTGCATGGGTGGGGATGCTGTTGATTTTAAATATCTAGAATCATCCTTCTAATTCTTGGCTGAGCTGCAGCTGCCTCAGCCACCAAAGTTTCCTATCCCACCAGAGAATTTGGGTTCTTGGTAAGGCCATGACTTTTTTTCTCTCTCTCTTTCTAGTTTGCTCCTGCCTTCCTGCCTACTCCATCTGATCTGTAGATCTGATTTTTCTTTTCTTTTTTTTTTTTTGCCTTGGCCACATTCTTTAACCTTAATTTAGTAGCTTAGTCTCTGAACACAAATAGCAAAGTCTCTGATGTCAGCACCTCCCCATCCCTGCAGTTCTTTTTATTTCTCGTTTCCCTCACCTGGTATGTCCACTACTCACCCTCTCCCAAGACCTCAGCAAACTTGTTTGCTCTATATACCATTTCCACCTCTGACCAGGAAAATCTACAACCTGTGGGAATCGTTAACTAGTCAGAATATCCCTAGGGTCCTGTGTCCCCTAGCTTATAACCTTATTGCATGTGAACCTCCTTTTCCTGTCAGGTCTCTCCTACAAGGCCCACCTGCCTGTCCGGAGGCTTGCAGGGTCAGCTCCTTGACATTCTAAGGTCTCTCTGCCCTCAGGATTCTCGGCTGTCAGCTCTTGACAAGGAAGCTTCCTGATGTTGTGGCACTGAATTCAGTTCAGTTCAGTTCAGTTCAGTTCATCCCTCAACTCTAAGTCTCCACCTCCATTTCCATTCCCCTTTTCACTAACCTTTCACTGGGGAAGGGTAAAAAAAGTCTGTCTGCCAGGCAACAATATTCTGAGGTCTCCTAATTTGCTACCGTCTCACAGGTGCTAAAGGCCACAGCCTCTGATCCTAATTGGAGCTCCCCTCTACCTTCTCCTATCTCCACCAGGTAAGTCTTCCACTGTCCTCCCCAGGTTTCTTAGGGTGAATACACACTGTTTACTGTTGTTGTTTGGTGATAATTTACCCTATTTTTCCCACAGAGGTTTCCATGTCTAACCATGAAGGAGACTGAGTCTCTTTGAACCCTCCCTTTCTGCCTTTTCCCACAATCATTTGAGCCTCTCAAGGGAGAGGCTGATCTTCTCTGTAGAACCTCAAGCTCTGCAATCCTTCCTACTCTGCTTTCCTTTCCCCTTCCCCTAGTGGTGTTTGTCCTCAAAGAAAAGCAGAAACTACATGCAGATACTCAAGGAGGCATGATTCAGGCTAGCACCTATTTATTAGAGACCAGAATGAACAGGGTCCTAATCCAAAGAGATGGCTAGATGGTTATCTAAACACGAAGATTGCAAAATTGAAGCCTTAGGGAGCCAAGAAAAGCCCCATGATCTCCAATTCCCCCTTCTGGAAAAAAAAAGTCCAAGCCATACTCTGGGTCTGCCTCTTGCTCTTGGGCAAGACTCCAGAGCATCCCTGGCATTCCATGTGTGCTTCCCACACGCACACTCCAAGCAGCCTTTCCAAATCCCACCCACTGCACCACTGAATGGTGTATTCGCCCCCTCCCTCCCTACGTGAGCTCACCCTGCAAGATCTCACCCTGCAAGAGGGTGGGGTGAGGGGGAGAGGAGTGCGAGCTGCCAAAGCTCCAGAGAGAGGTAGGGCTCAAGGAGGGCACAGGAAGAATGGCCTCAAGAAGCCCCCTGCCCATCTCTGGGGATGAGGGCTGACAGCAGAGGCAGCATCCACCCATTGGGGTGGGAAGCAATACTAGAGGATGTAAGAGGAGGAGGACACACCCCCAACCTGTACTACCAAGAATCTCCATGTTTTTGAGCAAGATCAAGAGCTTTCCTGAAGCCTACCTCCACCTCTCCCCAGCCCCAATTGTAGCACCACTTTTTAACTCCATGGTGGCCTGGCTTTATTTCACCACTTGCTCGAGTCAGTGCAGAATCAACTGACAGGACACGGTATTCCACCTGGTAGCCACACTCCTCTCACCTGCCTGGGGGTGTGTTGTGTTGAGAGTAGGGCAAGGGGAGATGTGTGAGCACATGTGCATACTTGGTCATGTATATCTGTGCAGTTCCCTGTACCATGTTGTATGTCTGTATATGTGTGCTGTGTCATATCTACCATGATATGTATGTATTGAGTCTGCATAATACTGTGTGTGTGTACAGTGTCCTGTTACTATCACGTTGTATACATGATCATGTCAATAAGCTACTGTGTGAGTGCTATGTGTCTGTACTGTGTTGCATGTGAATTGCATCTCTTCTATTAGCTGGACTGCAGGGAATAGCAACAGAGGCCAGATGGAGAAGCTGACAGAAGAAGTTATAATGCCTGCCTGAAAGGCAGACAAAGAGACAGATAGATGATCAGAGAGACAGGCCATGAAACCAGAAAGAAATGCAGAGGGAGAGAGACGCCCAACTTGCAAAGCTGCTGGGCTGCTGGGGAACTGTTGAGTCCTTTTAAGGGAGTCTAGAGATCTGTAAGATCTAGTCCCTGCCCTTGAAGAGCTTACAATCTAGTTTTCTTGGTAAGATGAATACTCCAGAAACCATGCCATGCAAGAATTATTGAAGGCAGTAGGGCAGCAAGTGCTACACTGCACGCTACAGACTCAAATGCTGTTGGAGACCTGGTGGAGGAAGTGCATCCTGGTTGGGTGGGAAAGTAGAGGGAAGGTTCGGGAAGGTTTAAACTAAGCCTGACAGGCCCAGAAGCAGGGATGCAAGGGGTGGGGGTACACTTCAAATAGGAAGGTAAAATTAAGTTCAGGGGGCAGTAGAAATCATAGGAACTTATTGGCAAATTTGCAGCAAGTGGCTAAAAAGCCACCCAGGCACCAGGAAAGGAGAAAAGGAAATGACAGCTTGATGGGAAGCATGTCTGTGTTACACTGAAGCTCTTAGATGGTGCTTGACATCTGCAAAGGACTTGGCAATGATTGTTATGTTGTTTCTCCTCCTCACCCCAAAATGTAGGTCAAGGCTGTCATTCCCATATTAGAGATGGGAGGGAGGCAAGAGACTAAAGGTAGCTGTACTGGGCAAAATTCGCCAGAACATAGGGGTCATGCCCTGAAGCCTAGCTCATGAGGTCCAGGCAGAGTCTTTGATATTGGGAGATCTGGTGGAAAAGCAGCATTTGCCTGGATTTGGAGATCCCTAACTCCCTGCCCTGGACTCCATTACTCACCTCACACCGCCACGGCTGCAGGACTTCAGCACAGGTGGGCACTGCCCATGAGAAGGGTCCAGGCTGGCTTCAGCTCCTACAGACTCAGTGCTGGGCACACCAGCTGCCACAAGATGCAAGGACTCAGCTGCTCTTTCTTGGGGGAAACCTGCCGAGAGAAGCATTGTAGGGGAGAGGGAACCTCTTTCCCCAACTACTACTGCTCCCTCATCCAACCCCCACCAAACATCACTCACACACACACACACACACTCTCTCTCTCTCTCTCTCTGTCTCTGTCTCTCTCTCTCTCTCTTTCTCAATCTCTCTGGTGAATTTCAGAAAATCCCTTAAGAAAGCTAGAAAATTAGAGCGCTAAGAAGTGTAAAAAGGCATTGTTACATAGGATTACAGAAAGGGCACAGAAGTGGGAGTCAGGATATGGGAGTTACAAGCTGACAATTGCTGTTAGTCACCTCATCATTCTGGGCCTGCTTGGTATCAAGTGAAAAGGCCTGCCTTAGTTGCCTTGGATAAGTGTTGGGAGAACTAAATCAAATAAAACAGATGTGAAATATTTACATAATTTGCATAATTATGGAGCAATATGTATAATCACAGGAGGTGGTAGAGCCCAGTGGACAAAAGGAAACAGAGACAATGGCCAATGCAAGTTGGCTCCATGAATATGTAAGCTTCCTGATGTTGTGGCACTGAATTCAGTTCAGTTCAGTTCAGTTCAGTTCATCCCTCAACTCTAAGTCTCCACCTCCATTTCCATTCCCCTTTTCACTAACCTTTCACTGGGGAAGGGTAAAAAAAGTCTGTCTGCCAGGCAACAATATTCTGAGGTCTCCTAATTTGCTACCATCTCACAGGTGCTAAAGGCCACAGCCTCTGATCCTAATTGGAGCTCCCCTCTACCTTCTCCTATCTCCACCAGGTAAGTCTTCCACTGTCCTCCCCAGGTTTCTTAGGGTGAATACACACTGTTTACTGTTGTTGTTTGGTGATAATTTACCCTATTTTTCCCACAGAGGTTTCCATGTCTAACCATGAAGGAGACTGAGTCTCTTTGAACCCTCCCTTTCTGCCTTTTCCCACAATCATTTGAGCCTCTCAAGGGAGAGGCTGATCTTCTCTGTAGAACCTCAAGCTCTGCAATCCTTCCTACTCTGCTTTCCTTTCCCCTTCCCCTAGTGGTGTTTGTCCTCAAAGAAAAGCAGAAACTACATGCAGATACTCAAGGAGGCATGATTCAGGCTAGCACCTATTTATTAGAGACCAGAATGAACAGGGTCCTAATCCAAAGAGATGGCTAGATGGTTATCTAAACACGAAGATTGCAAAATTGAAGCCTTAGGGAGCCAAGAAAAGCCCCATGATCTCCAATTCCCCCTTCTGGAAAAAAAAAGTCCAAGCCATACTCTGGGTCTGCCTCTTGCTCTTGGGCAAGACTCCAGAGCATCCCTGGCATTCCATGTGTGCTTCCCACACGCACACTCCAAGCAGCCTTTCCAAATCCCACCCACTGCACCACTGAATGGTGTATTCGCCCCCTCCCTCCCTACGTGAGCTCACCCTGCAAGATCTCACCCTGCAAGAGGGTGGGGTGAGGGGGAGAGGAGTGCGAGCTGCCAAAGCTCCAGAGAGAGGTAGGGCTCAAGGAGGGCACAGGAAGAATGGCCTCAAGAAGCCCCCTGCCCATCTCTGGGGATGAGGGCTGACAGCAGAGGCAGCATCCACCCATTGGGGTGGGAAGCAATACTAGAGGATGTAAGAGGAGGAGGACACACCCCCAACCTGTACTACCAAGAATCTCCATGTTTTTGAGCAAGATCAAGAGCTTTCCTGAAGCCTACCTCCACCTCTCCCCAGCCCCAATTGTAGCACCACTTTTTAACTTCATGGTGGCCTGGCTTTATTTCACCACTTGCTCGAGTCAGTGCAGAATCAACTGACAGGACACGGTATTCCACCTGGTAGCCACACTCCTCTCACCTGCCTGGGGGTGTGTTGTGTTGAGAGTAGGGCAAGGGGAGATGTGTGAGCACATGTGCATACTTGGTCATGTATATCTGTGCAGTTCCCTGTACCATGTTGTATGTCTGTATATGTGTGCTGTGTCATATCTACCATGATATGTATGTATTGAGTCTGCATAATACTGTGTGTGTGTACAGTGTCCTGTTACTATCACGTTGTATACATGATCATGTCAATAAGCTACTGTGTGAGTGCTATGTGTCTGTACTGTGTTGCATGTGAATTGCATCTCTTCTATCCTTTGTGTATGTGCAATGTGTCTAATTCATATTGTGTCATATCTCTATGCCATGCTGTGTGTCTGCATAGTGTTGTGGGCATTGTGTGCCTCTATCATGTTGTATGTCTATACCGCCTTGTTATGCACCTATGACTCAGCCTCCTGTTGGAGACTAAGGTAGAAATCAGTGCACGCATCTTGCACGTACCCAACACCCATCACCAACCCAACTCCACTCACAGCCACCTTGCTGCATTCCAACTTCCTGCCAGAATCCCTATCTGGGGACTAGGGCTGCCATCTTGGTGGTGGGGGTAGGTGGAAGCTACGGACAACTACTCTCTCTACCATAGAGCCTTCCCATGCCAAGTGTCTTGCTCAGCACGGAAGATGTCTAGGAAAGGAGGTTTGGAACCTTTTTCAGGCCCAAAGGAAACAGCACTGGGGAGTAAGTTATGGGGAGCTGACTCCCTCTGTAAACCCCCAGCCCCATCCGTATATGCAAGGAGAAGGACTTGCAGGAAATGGTGGCTGGCTGAGTTTCTCTGTCAGGCTGGTTGGAAGCACTGGGAGCCTTCTCCACAGGGAGTAACCACTGCACAAGGGCACTGGCGATCAGGTTGGGCCCTGAGATGCAGGGGGAGATCTTAAAATTGTTCCCATTGAGGTCACTAGAGGGCACTATTGTGCTGATTGTTAGGGATAGTGTTTCTTTTAAGGTGCTGAATTCCACAAAGTGCCTGGAGCTCAGAGGGAGATATAGGAAGGAAAAGGATATATGACCTAAGCCAGGCCTTTCCTTCACCTTCATACCAAGACTTTCTGTTTTGAGATTGAGTTAGGGAGTAAGGGCCACTAGTGAATATATGCCACCCACCCATCCCCTCAGGTCTGTGAGACCCCCCCCGCACAGAACCTTTCAGGGACTTGGTTATAGGGTCCCTAGCAGATTATTAACTTGGACTTCTCTTTTCCCTCCTGTTCCCCATTCATCTGAAGTAAAAGTAAAGCCACACTGTTGAAAGATATGAAATATACGTGGTTGTGGGTTGTTTTGTATTGTTTTCCCCAAAACTGGAGGGCATACAAAAAAGAAGGGGTAATTTTTCTGACAGGGAAAGAAGAGGGCTATACTTTAGTGGACCTGTCTTCATTACCAAGAATAAATGGACCACCCTATAGAACAACTACTGCCAACTTCATCGTTTGAAAGACAAGGAAACTGAGGCCTAGAGAGGGGCAAACACACTGTCTGGAACCCCTAAACACAACCGGGGTCCCAAACTGTCACTGTCTGGGACAGTGTGTTTGGGAGTCCCAGACCAGACCCTACCCCTCCAGAACACTTGACTTCTGACTCCCAGGGTTCATTCCACCCCAGTTCCTGGTCCTTTGGCCCCTAAAAATCTTCAGTCTCCAAATTCAGCCCCTTCCAACCTCAAAGAAAAACTCTGGCCTCCCTCTCCACCATGTGGGTTCCAAGGCCATCCTATTCCATCTCAGCAATCAGGCCTCTCTGTGACCACACCTTTCTAATGATTTCCTCTTCCCACCAGTAAATTGTTACTCTCTTTCCAGTTTTCAAAGTCCATCTCCCGATTATGTTTCCCAGACTCAGACCCAGCTGTAGCTGCACCGTTTTGCTCCTCATTGCATCCCCTGGGTTTAGCACAGATTGCTCCAACCTGCAGATAATTGACCAAATGTGGAACTCAGACACAGATCTATTGCATTGATTAACATTTCCAATTAAACTCCTGGTTAGGCTGTGTGTATTAGTGACTCAAATAATCACCGCACATGTAAATGCAAATGCCTTCCAAAGCCACGGAGCGCGGTAGGAAGCGACGCATATTTGGGAGGAAATGGCAACAGACTGCCAGACCCGGAGGTTCATTTGGTCCTCCGGTAACCCTAAATGAGATTTTAAATGTGTGGCTGTTAGTTGATCCGAGGCTTAAGCATCACACCTGAAATGGAGGATTCGGGTTCTGCGCGTCGCTGCAGGCCCTTTTCCGCCCCCTGCTGGAGAAGCTGTGTAGTGCCGAGTTGGCAGACGAGTCCACCCCAGGCCCTGCAGAGGGAAACGCCTAGACCCCGGCAGGTGGGGTGGGGGTGGGGGACGCGTAGCGGAGGCTTAAGTTATGCCCCAGATGCCTAGACTGCTGCACTTACCTTCCAAAGTAAAGGTTTTACACAGTTCCCTGCGCGCACAGGGTCCCCAGGGATCCTGAGAAGGAGGGCTTTTTTTTTTTTTTTTTTTTTTTGAGCAAGGGTCCCAGACCAGGCCCCAACCCACCCATGTAAAAGCAGTCAACCTACCTGTCTAGGCCAGATTGATAGCGCCTCCACTTCCCTTTGGGACACTGTCCTTCCCCACTCCCCTCTCCTTACCCAGGAAGAAAGAGCCAGTTGTTGAGGCTGCTACTCATTGAGTTTCTTGTTCTCTTGGTTAAAGCTACTGGTTCCTGAAGGTGAGTTGCATGGGTGGGGATGCTGTTGATTTTAAATATCTAGAATCATCCTTCTAATTCTTGGCTGAGCTGCAGCTGCCTCAGCCACCAAAGTTTCCTATCCCACCAGAGAATTTGGGTTCTTGGTAAGGCCATGACTTTTTTTCTCTCTCTCTTTCTAGTTTGCTCCTGCCTTCCTGCCTACTCCATCTGATCTGTAGATCTGATTTTTCTTTTCTTTTTTTTTTTTTGCCTTGGCCACATTCTTTAACCTTAATTTAGTAGCTTAGTCTCTGAACACAAATAGCAAAGTCTCTGATGTCAGCACCTCCCCATCCCTGCAGTTCTTTTTATTTCTCGTTTCCCTCACCTGGTATGTCCACTACTCACCCTCTCCCAAGACCTCAGCAAACTTGTTTGCTCTATATACCATTTCCACCTCTGACCAGGAAAATCTACAACCTGTGGGAATCGTTAACTAGTCAGAATATCCCTAGGGTCCTGTGTCCCCTAGCTTATAACCTTATTGCATGTGAACCTCCTTTTCCTGTCAGGTCTCTCCTACAAGGCCCACCTGCCTGTCCGGAGGCTTGCAGGGTCAGCTCCTTGACATTCTAAGGTCTCTCTGACCTCAGGATTCTCGGCTGTCAGCTCTTGACCAGGCTACCTCCTAGTCTCTTCCCATTTTGCTTGTTGCATGAGCTGGGGGATATGACACTTGTATCCAGAAACAGAGGCTTACAAATGGCTCTCTCGCCAAGCCTCCGCCTGTTAGTCATTCATTACCATATCAAGCCTCTTTGCCCAAAGTTGCCCCTGATTGGAGGCCTCAAGTACCAAATCACAGATCTTGTCCAATTAAAATTTTGCAAATGGCCCAGTGAAAACCGCACTGACCTTTACACCTCGCTCATCCCAGAACAGGGCCACGGTGTTGTCACCAACAGGAATGGACCTCCTTCTGTTCCAATACCTCAGACAGCCATACACTTGGCCTGGATTTGAGTCTGCAAAACCATGAGGGGAGCAAGACTAACATGGCTAAAGGCTTCCCTGCTGAAAGCCGTTTTTTAAAAATAGCACTGCAACCGCCCCCATCATGCTTCCCAAAGCCAAGCCACTCACCCTTCTCTCCTTCGCTTCTACAGACCGACGGCCCAGAACCCTCAAGTCTAGAATCTGGAACGGGATTCTGAAAGGTGGGACCAAAAAAAAAAAAAAAAAAACAAGTGGGGCCTCTATCTCTCTCCTTGCCTGAATCCCCCTCTTCCCACAATCCCCCACCCCACCCCACCCCTTAACCACCACCTAGGGAAGGGAAACTTGCCAGAGCAAGAATCTAAAATGTTCGGTTCACGCAAAAGTGCGGCAATAATCTTGCCAGAGCCAGTTCACAAACTGAGGGCAATGTCCCCCAGCGAGCTAAGGGGAAGAGGGGAGAAGGAGAGGCAGTGGACCCAATGACACTGCTCCCCAGACAAAGACAGGGCCAATCCAGGGACCCCGAGCTTTCTGGGGACGTTATTGCATCATTCCAATCCCCACAGGAGAAGAAAAGAGTCCCCCTGTTATTACCATCTCCCCACCAAAAAAGGGGAGGGCGATAAACAAAAATAAAAGAAAGAGGGGAAGGCACCCATTTAAGAAAATCGTCACTTTTTCTCTTTTCTCCTGTGTGTGTGTGTGTGTGTGTGTGTGTGTGTGTGTGTGTGTGTAGGTGTAGGGGGCGGGGGGTTCTGCCCTGGACTTGGCCAGACCATGGCCACACCCCCTCCCCTTCTCTAGGGAACTGCTGTCACAGCTACCGGGGCTGGGTAGGGGGGCGGGGGGCGAAAGGGAAGACTTACAGGCTGACGTAGCTTTCAAGGCGGGTTTTGCCTCAAGTGGCCCAGGCCCCAGTAAACGAGTCTAGGGTTTGACCAAGCGAAGGAGCCCCGGCCCTCTGGGAACGGCCCTGACACACCCACTTGTCCGCGAACCGGGATCAAGCAAACTGCTCGCTTGGTCTCAGGGCTCCGGGGAGCCACGTAGGAGACTCGAGGCTGGGGCACAAACAGGACAGGAGGGGGGTCCGGAAAGGCAGAACATCTGCCCAGCAGCCTTAAAGCATCATCCAACAGCCACCCCCTCCCCCGCGCTAGCCCGGGTGCAGTTAGTCGCGGGATTTACCTGCCACGGATCCAGCCACCCAGTCAAGACCTTTCCTCTACCTCCGAGAGCTCCAGCTGGCGGGGCTGGGGAGCCGCAGCCCCGCGGCCGAAGCCGCAGCCCCGGGCCCAGCCCGCTCCCCCTGGCTCTTCTCCCGCCCCCGCACACTGGCTCGAGGCGGGGAAAAACTGCAGCCCCCAGTGCGAGATCCCAGACGGTTAGCTGGCACAGCTGCCCGCCCGCGGTAGAGCCCCTGCTCGGCAACCGCTCCCTAGCCGTTCTCTGCTATGACGTCACCCGAGCTCTGCACCTTACCTAGGCCAATCAGATGGTGAGCATAAAACTAAAATCGCCCTGAGTGGGCTACTGGGGACCAATCTTTTGTTTCCAGGCAGGAAGCGCCTGGGAGGGGGAAAAAACTGAAGGGGAGGGAACATGGAGAGGGAAAGGGAGAGGAGGTGGAAACTTCTACACTGTCAGGGTTGTCTAGACAGAGGTGGGGCCATCCAAAAAGAGGGGCACCTGACAGGATGGAGAGGAGGGGAGAGTTCATTTATCTTCCTTAATTGCTCCCCTCAGGAAAATTGAGATTTCAGATGAATTTTCGGGGGACGAAATCTGTCCAGCTACACGGGCACGCTTTATTCGGGGGGAAAAAATTGTTTCGATTTGGGACACCACCTGTCAACCAGGCAGGTTAAACTGATGGAATCTCTAAAATACACAGAAAACTAAGAGAGGCAGATGTGGCAGTGGAATTCAAAGAGATGGCAATCTAGATCGGGAAACTACTTTTTTGCATACGAAGTACATACATTCCAAAAAGCACGGAATTATACAAAAAATAAAAATAACTCTACTTCAAATGGAGTTTAAATGTGATTCTCTCTGTCCATCCTTTCCCTTAAACCTTCAAAGCTTTCTCTTGTCTTTAGGATTCGGTTCAAATTTTTGCAGATGTCCAAAGCTTTCTAAAATCTAACTCCAAAAATAATCTCTTGCTACTCCAAAATCCATACTCCCCATGATTTGGCTAGGTTATGTAAATTATGGTGAATTCCAGCAAGGAGACAGTAAGCTGCCATAAAAAGTCAAATAATACAAAACAACAAGGACATTCAAATTGTAATGATGTAAAATATGCCTACAGAAAACGATCAGAAGAGGACATAAAATTGTAATAGTTGGGTTAAACTAGTAGTATTATGAGTAACTTTTTCTTTCTACTTTCAAATTTATTTTTATAAAGATAAATATATCCTCACATACTTAAATGACCAAAATAGATCGTGACCCTTCCCAGTGAGCTTTTATTCAATTTTCTCTACACTGTATAACATCCAGCAATAATTTCTCCATAATGCCAACAAAATAGGTTCCAAGAACAAGAGTGAACTAATATATCTGCCCAGGTCCTTTTAGTAAAAGTCCTTTTACAAAAGAGCTACAGATGACCAGACGCGGTGGCTCATGCCTATAATCCCAGCACTTTGGGAAGCCCAGGCGGGTGGATCACCTGAGGTCAGGAGTTCAAGACCAGTCTGACCAATATGATGAAACCTTGTCTTTACTAAAAATACAAAAATTAATGGGGCGTGGTGGCATGCGCCTGTAATCCCAGCTACTCGAGAGGCTGAGACAGAAGAATCGCTTGAACCCAGGAGGCGGAGGTTGCAGCAGCGAGCCAACAAGATCCCGCCACTGCACTCCAGTCTGAACAAGAGCAAAACTCCATCTCCAAAAAAAAAAAAAAAAAAAAAAAAAAAAAAAAAAAAAAGAGCTACAGATTCGCCAGACATAACATCTCAGCATCTCAGGCAGTTGAAGAATGGGATGCCTCTTTTGGACTAATTCATTTTAAATTGTGATGATATAGGGAATTGAGAAAAACAACAATGATCCACTCTATGGCAAAACAAGAAAGAGGGAGGCAAAGACTAAGTAAACTATATAATTCAGACTATTTTAAGGGTCACTTTGCATTTTATTTTCCTAAATTCAAAATATATGTATTAATGCATATATGAGTATTACATTAACATTGTAGAAAGTGGTAGAGCTGGGATTTATATCTAAATGAGTCCAATGTCCATGCTTTTTCTAATATGATACAGTTTACTACTGCTAAGAATTAAATGTGGTATTACTGGTTTTGTTAAAATACATACTTGCTGTAAAAGAAACAGACTATGTAAGACTGGCATTTTAAAAAAATCAGGCATTTTTAAAAATAGCTTTTTTGGTGTAGTGGTTGTCTTTAATGCAAAAATATCCAACACCCTCACGCTCAAATCCTTGATTAATAGGTTGGAATCAGGATGGTTCTGACTCCAGTGATTTTACAGATATCTTTTTAATTAACTTTGGAGTAAAAAAATAAGCAACCACATCCCATTGATTTTTTTTTTTCCACCATGGTAAAAATAATCTAAAAAAATCACAAATCAAAATGAATGTAATTTATTCAATGTTAACATCTCTGATTTGTAAAATGCATTTATTTGGGTCAAACAAGAACCTTTTTTAAGAAATAGAAAAATATAACTGGATTTTCCTGGCTAATGATTTAACTTGGGTCTTCTAGGCTATTGATTTAAATTGTAATTAGAAGGTGTTCGATTTCACTCTAATCCTCCCATATACCTCAGCTATAACTCAGAGCTATTTATGCAGTCACCACATATGGTTATTTAAACATTTCATAGGTGTATTTCTTCTCTCCCTAGTGATTATAGAAAGTAGTATGTGGACAAAATCCTATTAGGTGATTGACAAATTAAAGCATAGTAATGTCATAGAAAGAGGACTGGACTTAAGACCCAAGCCTAGGGTCTTCCTGTTAAAGGGTGATAACCTATATTATTCTTAATACAAGAAAGCAGTCTTTACTGTCAACATGGTTTGTTCTCCAAGAATATAGGGCAACTGCATGAGAGATCTCAGGGAAGGGATTCTAATCTGAAATATCTTAAAGATTTCATCTGTGTAATTTTTCCCACTCAACTCACCATTTTTACCACCCAACTCACTGTTCTCTTGCTTGGGAGTTCTTCGATTTAAGGGTATTACAACACTACCATCATAACCACTTGGCATGTGTATCCTACTTCTCAGGTTACAAACCACTTTTGTATCTTTCCATTTGATCCTTACAACAACCATAACAGTTTACTATGACAATTATTATGATCTGCATTTCATAGATGAGAGAATGGAGACTCGAGGGTTTGAAGTTACCTGTCCAATGCTTCACAGAGATGGTCCTGGAAACCAGGTCTCCAACTCTCAGTTCTATGTTTGTTCTGCCACCCTATATGGCCACTTGAGTTGTATTTCTTCTCTGGGTCTCACCAATCCAACTAGCCCCTTGATTCACATGAGAAGTGAGAAGTGCCGGGATGGGGCTTGTAACAACAGAAGTAAACTGAAATGAATATCTTCAAATGTTTCATCCCAATCCTGCATAAAAGGAACATTGCTCACTCTCATATACAATTGATGGGCGTGTAAATGGCACAACCTTTTGGGAGCACAAGTAGGTAATACTTATGAAATTTAAAAATGCATATGCCACTTGACCCAGCAATTCCAACTCAAGGAATTTGCTTATGAATATATTCATAAAAACATGTCAAGAAATGTTGAAATATGTTATGCTGAATATTATGTAAGAATGAAAAATAATACGTAAAAGGTAGCCTAAATGTCTCTCAGTAAGGGAATTGTTGGTTTTTTAGCCACTTTGTCAAATATGATTGCCGTGTAAAAAGCTGTACATATTTAACGTATACAACTCTATGAGTTTGGGAATAAGTATACACCTGTGAAACTATCACCACCATCCAAGCCATGGACATATCTATCAACTCCCAAAGTTTTCTCCTGCCCAAGTAAGGGAATCATTAAATAAATTATGTGGTAGATACATATTTTGAACTGTTATGCATCAGCTTAAAAAATCAAGTATATAAACCCCTATGTACTGAAATAGTAACACTCCTTGACCCATTCTTGAGTGAAAAAATGCAGAACAGCACGTGTATTATGATTTTATTTTTGTTTAAAAAATTGGGTGTACATGTGTGTTTTAACTGCTAAAGGGGACACTCTGGGAATAAAAGAGGGTAGGAAAGACATGTGGGTATGTGTATATGATGGGGGACATTAACTCTTTTCTTTAAATACTTCTGTGTTGTTTGTATGTTTTTACCATAAGCATGTACTATATTTTACTTGTAAGAAACATCATTAAAAGGCGAAATAGGAAATACAGTCTTATTTTAGTTAAGACGAAAGCAAGCAAACTATGCCTGCTATCCTGAAAGAGGTCTGAATGCCAGGTCAATGATTCAGGTGTAGCAATCAAGGCTATGGTGTGCCAGACTGAGCTGAGCCATACCTGGGCAGGCACTGAATGCAAGGCAGTAATGAATAACCCACTGGGCAAAAGCAACCCAGATTTCCTTGCTCCCTTCCCATCCTTGCCTCAAGTCCTACAACCAGAAGTTGCTCCCAGTAGTGGACTCTGGGTCTGTGTGGATCTCAGTCTTCACATCTTTTGCTACAGCAGCTGCACTAAAAAAAAAAGAAAAAGAAAAAGAAAAAGTCCCCACTCTTTCTCTGAATACAAAAGAACCTGGGGTTTGGCAGCTGATGCACAGCATTGGCTAGGAGGACAGTGCCTACTCCTCCTTCACTCAGGGCCGCTCATTACAGCCTGTTGCCATTACTGCAGTCTGGTACAATGGAGCCCCTTCCTGCCTGCCTCCCCATGTCCATCATTGGGGTCTCAAGCTCTTCTGTGGCAGGCAGCATTGTAGGTTACCTGCTGGGCAAAGAGCAAGGAGCATCAGTGATGCCAAGAGGTCTTGTCCTAGGTCTCTGAAAAATCAGAGGTGAGGGAAAGAGGAAAGCCCATGGCTGGGAAATTACTATTCTCTTGGGTCTTCAGAGTTCTTTCCTGGAAATCAGGAAACCCAGGTTATATTCTAGCCTCTGGAGAGGAAATCCTGAACAAGACTCAACTTTTGCTGGGCACTAGTTTTCTCCTTCGTCGAACCCGCCTTGCCTATCTCCTTGGATTGTTGTATGGATACAAACAGCTAATGGAACAAAAGCAGATTTAGCAGATTTTTGAGCTATACATCTCCTTAACAGACTTGATGAGTCTCATTTACATATGCTCCCTAAATGGTGGCAGCTTGGGAATGAAGGATTTCTC